CCTCCTCCTCACACTCCTCCTCCTCCTCCTTCTCGTCCTCCCCCTCCTCCTCCTCCTCCTCCTCCTCCTCCTTCTCCTCCTCCTCCTCCTTCTTTTTATTAGCATTCGTCTTCGTATCCTTCATAACATTTTTATTCGTATGATTAGTAATAATATTATGTTTACTATTCATAGTATTAGTATTGGAATTATTACTTTTAGTGGTAGTAGTAGTAGTAGTAGTAGTAGTAGTAGTAGTAGTCTTAGTATTATTGGTATTATTATTATTGTTACTATTATTGTTATCATTAATAGTATTATTATTAGTGTTATTATTATAATTATCATAATTATCATTATTATTATTATTATGATTATTATTGTTATTATTATTAGTATTATTAATATTAATGTGATTGATACTATTAGTAGTATTAGTATTATTAGTATTATTACTATCAACATTATTAGTATTGGTATTATTGATGTTACTAGTATACTCACTGTTAGTAATATGATTATGAGTATTACTATTGTTACTAGTTTTATCATTATGAGCATTAAAATTATTACTAGTAGTAGTATTATTATCATCATCATCATCCTTATTATCAGCATTATTATTCATAATACTCTTATTAGATTTATTTTTATTATTAATATTATTATTGGTGTTGCTAGTATTGTGGTTAATAGTAATAAGATTATTAGTATCAGTAGTATTTCTATTACTGGTATTAATATGATCGGTATTGGAAATAGTATTAGTACTATCAGTATCATTATCAGTATCGTTAGTATTATTATTATTCATATAACTAGTATTATTAAAAGGAGTAGCACTACCATTATGACATGTAGTATTATTATAGGTGTTAGTATTATTAGTACAAGTATTATTGATAACGTTATGTTTACTAGTAGTATTACAATCATGATGAATATGAGTGTCAACCGTATTAGTACTAGTAGTATTATTATTATTAGTATTATGAGTATCAATATTAGTAGTATTTCTATAAATAGTGGCATTCGTATTCTTACTCATATTATAATTATGGTCTGTCTCAGTATTATCATTCGCATTCTTATTATTATTCGTATTCTTCGTGTTAGTATTATTCTCCTTATTCGTATGATTAGTATCCAATGTGTCTTATTACTATTCGTATTAATCCTCTTCTAATTCTTAATGTGCTTCGTCGTATTCTTATGATTATTATTAGTAGTATTATTATTATTATTACTCCTCCTCCTCCTCCTCCTCCTCCTCCTCCTCCTCCTCCTGCTCCTCCTCCTCATCCTCCTCCTCCTCCTCCTCCTCCTCCTCCTCCTCCTCCTCCCCTCCTCCTCCTCCTCCTCCTCCTCCGCCTCCTCCTCCTCCTCCTCCTTTTCCTCCTCCTCCTCCTCCTCCTCCTCCTCCACTCCTCCTGCTCATCCCCGTCCCGTTCCTGCTTACTTGTCCCCCTGTTTCCCCTTTTTGATCCCACCTCCTTTTGAATAACTCGTCCCCGTCGAGCCACCAGACGTGTCGGCACGGTGAACCAAGCGTTTCGCATGAGATTTCCTCACATATGATCCTGAAGCCCGTCATATGTAGCACTTTCAAAGGTGGAACTCTGGTCGCTTGGTCATGCGGCCCTCGCCTTAGCGCCACGCACATTCGTCCCAAACGCTCACAGGATCGAGGGTGGTCTTCAAACCTGGGTTCTCGCCTCAACGCCATACGCCTCTCCCATAAACCTATACAGCACATACAAGGATGGGGGCGTCTCCTTTTCAATCTGGTGTTCGCTTTAGCGCCGAGCGCAATCGTGCTAACAACTTGCAACACATACAAGGAGGATTCGCGGTTTCAAAACCAGGGGATCGCGTTTGAGGCCTCCTCTTTGTTATGTGTAGTAATACAACTACACACGATAAGCCGCAACCTTGACCGCAAGGCGTAGCTGAACGAACGGATGGAGGGCGGCTCCTTTTCAAAAAGGGCCTCTCGTTTGAAACCTCCTGGGGTCCCATGGCCAACAGCGCAAGTGCACGCAACAACTACCAGATGGGGGCCAGTTGTTCCAAAACGGGGAAGTCGCTGGACACCATGTGTAGCTGTATGACCATACCACCTACGTGTTAGAAAACTGCAAACAAGTTCTTTGGTTAAAAGCAAACTCTCGCCAGAATGGCAGGCCCGTGGTCTTTCAAGGGAGCGCTTACTGTGGTGAAAAATGAAAGCGACCAAGGACTGGTGGGGACGGGAGTTGGGACGGGGAGGTGTATTGCCACACCGTTGACGCACCTTGGGTTTACTCTTGCCCTTCTCCTTCTCCGTCACCTCGCCCCTTCCCCTCAACATCTCCCATCGAACCCTCGATGTTGAAGTTTAAAACGATGCCCTCAAGGCCCAAAACGCCCAACACACACGGCATAGCGCCCCATATACAATGCGGTATGCCGGCACGCGCGTAGGTTGATGGCTCTGTGCACAGGCTCTGTGGTGCAGGCTCTGCGGTGCAAGCTTCGTGGT